GCGGGCTATCCTTGATTACTTGAGGAAAAAACAGACATGCCTTATTATGCACTGTGCTTCGCAGATAAACAAGGAAAATTTCAAGAAAAAGTGCAGGGTATCAATTTTGTGTATGCCCTTGAACTTCTCACTGAGTCATTCGGTTTGATAGCATACCCTCTTGCCCTCCCAGGTGGAGACAAATAATTAGTTTTCCATTTTTTCCCTAGTATTCTGACAGTCTAATCAGCACATTATCTACCGAAATCCGTCAAAATATTTACATTTTAGTCGATTGCGGGAGTGGGTGTTTTATTTATAGATTTAATTTTGAGTGGTAATGAAGTTTAATTATGAAGAAGTTTATTTAAGGTCTTTAATCGAATAGATTGTTTCTCATAAATCAGGAATTTCTTAAAAAAATATCGTCAAAGTCGTCAGGATGTTTTTGATGGCAACAGTATGGCAAGCATGTTCCGAGATTATTTTTAAAAAAAGCATGACAAAATTATCACAAAAATTGTACTAACTTTTCAACGGTATTTATTGACAATATTTAACAATTTCTTTCATCGATAAATGAAAGAAAAAAGACCCTGAAACATTAAGTACAGATATTTCGTTGACAAATTTAAATTTTTGGGAATGTTTTTTTTTATTTCTCAACAAAAACTGAAGTCATAATGAAATAACCAAAATGTCCTTGATAATTTGATTTATACTAAATCATTATAGCTTTAGAAAAATAAATGTAAATTTCCGAAAGTGCCAAAAAAGAATTTCAACGCAGATTTTTTACGCGCGAATACCGCACGTGTCGCAAAAATCAGTTGAAAAATCCCTCACTCTAAGAAAAAAAATGTACGTATTTTCCTCATGCTGATAGCTATGAACTGTCCTTAAAGTATTCAATGTTTCAGCAACTTTTTTGGGAAAAGGGGGAAAATGCCTGTTTTATGGGCAGCGGGAGTTTTTCTAGTTTAAATTTGTCAATTGGGGTTTTTTTCTTCTCGAAAAACATCTGAACACGCTGCTCATCAGGCATCGTCAGACAAAAATACGGGTGATATTCGAAAAATAAAATTCTGAAGTTCGGTGAGTCCGTCAGATCGTGTGGACATCAGCATATTTTGGCTAGGTTTCTATCAATGCATTGAGAGGTGACACCATGCTGCGTGCTAAGGATAAACGCCGCCTTAAGAATTTTTGAGAATTGCCAAATTGCACCGGATAAAATGTGTATTTTTTGGGAAACTCATGCGTATTTTTCCTGGAAATTTTCAGACATTTTAGATAAAATTGCAAACAAAATTGTCTGAAAAAATGAAAGAAAAATATTTATAATTTTCCTGGTAAATTAAGTTTTGATTCAAGGAAATATGACAATGTCGGAAAGCCCATACGGCGTTCTTCTTTAGCATGACAGTATGCATCACCCTGGAGCGTCTGGCAAGTTTCGCACGTGAGCTGAAGACGCGGCTGGCTAATGAGGTTAATCCGATTTCGTATTGCGAAAAAATCCCGCGCCGTACGTTTTTGGAGGTCACTGCAGCGTTGCCAAGCCGCGCAAACGCATCAAGTCGCATTTTGGGAAAAAAGTGAGATTAGAATAATTTTGAGTCCAACCAGGCGCAATTTTTTTGCCATAAATTCAAAGTCGAGAAAAAATATTTTGAATGAGAAAATAGGCGTTGAATTTTACTTCCGAATTTCTATATTCGATATCAATCTAAGATATCGCTCATCAAGAAAACGATTTTGATGCCATCTACCGCGAAAGTGCATACTATGGTTTTTTCTACCTTAGTTTTTTCAATCTGTGATATACGAGACACATTTACAATGGTTGCTCAACATGAAACCTGGATGAAACCAAGTTTGAAGAAACCAATGGTGTCACCACGATGGGGTGTCAACCATGATGTATGACGTCATTCGCGGTGTTTTTCGATGAGTGATATATCCGTAAATATTGGACGTAGAAACTTGGCGTTTGAATAGATCTTTCTATTTTTTGCTAATCTATTTTCTAAAACCAAGAAAAAATCAATTCTCAGACCGCTGTTCAACGACCCATTCTCTCTCCGTTAATACGTTCATCTACTATCCTATGCACACAACTTTTGTAGTTATGAACCGTTCTTAATGCTAAATATCGGTACACGGACTTTATGTCCACTTTTTTTACGTCCACAGACTTTTCGTCCACAATTTTTACGTCCACAGTTCTAAAGCCAACACTATTGTTAAGTCCATTACTTAAACGTCCACTAAGTTAAGTCCACAAATGTAAAGTCCACTAACATCAAATTCAAGCGTCATATTTGTCCGTATTAGTCCGTGTGTAAAATTATATTGACAATATCGAAATGAGAAAATTAAGAGAGAATGAGGTGTTGTTATCGTAACTCATATTTTAAATGAAATGTTTAAATTCTTCTGTTATTAATTTCTTCTTTTGATCTATCTTTTCAAATTGTCTTTGGTAAATACTTGGTTTCATTTCTATCCTTTAAATATCCGATATAAAATATGCCTTAAATGTACATTCTTTTTTTTTTTTTGAAATTGATTACTTCATTTTAAAAACATTTACATTTTTAAAATGTGGTAAATATTTGTAAAATCTTTTCCAAGCAATTGCATCGATATGAATCTCAATGAGCCGTAGTTGTGATGAAAGAAACTATACAAAAATTAATAAAATAGGAAAAAAACTAAGAAGCACGCAATTTTTTGTTTTTAACTTATTTGCACATCGACCTCCTTGAGTCGAATACGTCCAATTTTGAGCGTTTGGTTGCGCTTACACCACGCTGCAGCACAGTAAAAGCCCAAAACATAAAAGAATAAATTTGAATGCTTTGGAAATCATTAAATCTGACACGGAACCACTAATATATTTACAAAAAACACATTATATTTTTCAGTGGTACATATTTCTTTTTCATCAGTTTAAAAGTGAATAATCAATGCAGAGAGTGCAAACATTTCAAAATCATGAGTTGAAAAACGCTGACTCCGCGAGTTTAAATATTAGAGCCTAACACAGAGCGGAGCGGCGTGTGAGCAGCGCAGAACGCGCACTGGCGCCTACAAACCTAACGGGATACTTCACGCATTGCGCAAAGCGTGAAGTATCCCGTTAGGTTTGTAGGCGCCTATGCGCGTGTCACGCTGGTTGCCTGCCGCGCCGCAACGCTTTAAGCAACTATTTCGCGTCAGAGGCGTTGCTCAGTATCCTACAAGATTAAAGGCGCACGAAATAACTAGTTAAAGAGGACTTTCAATTTTGACTGCATCTGTTACTGAAAAATGTTTAATTTGGCATTGGAGCGTTTCTTAGCTTCCGCTTTGGTTTTCATCTTATCATATCCGTACAGTGTACACATGAACATATATTTTTATCTGCTTTTAGCGGCTGTTCTCTTTCATGACTTGATTCATGAATGAAATGGTTTTAAGAATGCAGGTAGTAGTACTATGCATTTATTTTTGAGGTAACATTTCCACAATTTGGACACTTTTGGACGTATTCATGATTAGACATTAAATCATGTGGACTTAATAAAGACTGGACTTAACGTTTAGTGGACATAAATAGCGGTGGACATTTATTTAATGGACGAAAGGTAGGTGGACATGAAGTCCTGGAAGCTAAATATCTCCGTATTTTCCTCCTTCTTCCTCTCACTCTCCTTCCTTTTTCCTTCCCCTCTTAATGACTAGCAAGGGAATGTCGTATAAATCGAGTGGCAAAATGGCAACGTTGGTGTCAATGCAGTGAAGCTTGCACTCGAGCGATTGCCAAGCAAATGTGCCAAATGAGCCTGGAATTAACGAAATTCACCTTCAAAAACAACGTGAAGTTAATTGAATTTGCCGATGAATTAGGCAAGGTTGCATGTATGCGATGCATCTTTCTTGAACCGTGCAGAAATGCACCCGTCAACTAAAGCAGTTCGGGGTGCTATTTTACACCCTATTCCCTCCTACCCTACACCCTCCACAAGTTTTAAATTTTGTTTTCACCCTCAGAAGATGAATGGATGCGTTTTATGTTTTGATGTTTAACGACTGTCCACACAAAATGACTGTCCAATGTCCATTGACACACATTTTCATTAGTTTTTATCCGTTTTGTTCCGTCTATATTCACGCTCCTGATTTGATAATGATTGAATAAACTATTTTTCGAAGAGAGAATTATTCGCTTTCCCCGGTATGTTTGTTGCCTACGTGGGGAGATTGAAAGCAAACTTCGAGTGGAAAATAGTCTATCCATCGGTCCTATCAAAGTTTCTGGAGCAATGTGGGTTTTTTGAAGAGATGAGTATTCACGCTCCGTGGTATGTTTGTTGCCTATGCGTTGAAATTGAAGGCAAATATCAAGTCGGCATTATCTATCAATATGTTAAATGAAGAAAAATATTACATGATGCACCTTTTCCGAGGGTATGGATTCGATCGACGAGAGCCGATCGAAAAATCAAAACGTGAACCTATTGAAGTGATTCGATCGACAAAACTCGATCGACCCACATGTTTTACCCATCGATTCACGGGTTTTGTCGATCGATTCACGGAATTTTTTGATCGATCAGGGGTTTTGTCGATCTATTCACTGGTTTGTCTATTGATTCACGGATTTGTCTATTAACTCAAGGCTTTGTTCGACCGATTCACGGTTGTCGATCGAATCTGTGCTGATCGAATCACGTCGATCGATTCACGTTTTTATTTTTCGATCGATTCAGGTCAATCGAATCCATACCCTCTCATCTTTTCTCACCTTGGATTCTTTCCTTGTCCTATCTTTTAATTTTGTGTGCTACCCTTTTGTGACCCCTACTTTTTATACTTTTTAAATTCTGTACTACACTATTTTGATCTCTCCTCTTAGGTTTTATTGGCTCAAATTTTAAAAGCACCAAATAAACGTATCTACCAACCAACCATTGTTACATTGGTCTACAGGTTTATGATATCGAAGAGGAGTATCAACTTGGAGTTGGACTTACCGGAAGTTTGGTGAGTTCATCTACACGGGATTCGATGGGCTTGCCTCGCTTGGGCCGGAGAAGGATGTAGATACTGGCGATGTCTCCACAGGATCTGAGGAGCTTCTCCAGGAGGACTTTGCCCATGAACCCGGAGGCACCGGTGACTAGAACCGATTTCCCGGCGTAGAATTCCTGGATCTCACTTCGCCCCATCTTGAACCGAGGGACTCTGCTCTGCAACATGTCAAACAGAAATCGAGTTAGTTTCAAAATAGGAGTAATCCAAGTAGTATGGGATGCAATGGATGGACATGAAAGCAGAGGAGGTGAGCTTGTACCCCGCAAAAATTCAAATTATCAATATTCTAGCTAAGAAGTCTCAAGGGAAGAGCCAACCCTCAAAAAGGAGGATTTTAGGTTTAATGTGACTCTGCCCGGATTTTGGCATATTTGAACTGGCGTGGATCAAAGATTGTTCGACACCTAAGATATTTTACGAAAAACGACGATAGATCGCGCGTAAGAGTTATAAAAATCATTTGCAACGATTTTTTTTTAAATTTGGATGGATGAATACCGGGTTTGGCTACGAAAGAAAAAAACGTTGCATTCTATACAGAGGTAGATTACTAAATTATGATAATTTTTTGTGGTAAAATCCTGTTTTTATAACCTCCGATTGTTGCAATTTTTCTAGTTGCGAAAAATCCTATTGACTCATGCACATGTGTTACTGTTTTCAATAGTCAAATTGTGCCAAGATATCTGAATTCATCGATGCAGTTGATCGCACACCGGCCCAAATACCACAACTCTATAAAAATATTGAATTGAAATTGCGACTTTATGGAATAAAATTGCAATATTTTTACAACATTTGGTCGATGGATTCCGGTCTTACAAGATAAATGAGATGAGGTTTTGGTGTCAGAAAGGTTGGTCATTTGCAATGCAAAAAAATTGCCACTTATCTGAATATGTTTGCAATAATTCAAAGAAAGGTGTCCCTTCGATCAGTATTCTTTTTTATTTTATTTTTTACAACTTCAAATACCACAGAAGTGGTAATAATGAGCTTTTAGTAAGAGCCCCATCCACTCAGTCCCTTTAACTATACATTACAACCAGCCCGAGGCATTGTTTGCGAGACCATCAAACTCGGGTCGCCTAGCTGGGAATTGAATCCCAGACCTCCTAGTGTCCTGGCGCCTAGCCATAGAGCCAGTGCTGAAAACCACTACACCCCAGGAGGCTGACAATATAATACACAACATGCGGACATATTTCACCCATGCTGTAACAATAATTTTACCGTACAATTGCAATTTTTCGTGGTCTGCTTCGCTACTTTAGGGTTCGACCAAATTCAAAACTTGGGACGGATCATTCGTTGAAAGAGGCGTCCATGTTCATTTTCCTCTCAACCAACGTTTTTCAAGGTTGCATCTTGGAGCATTAACCTGGTGCGGCGCCTGCAGCGAAAAAAAAATCGCAACGGCACGTGACCAACTGACCAAGTTTCTGCGTCGATGCTCCAAATGAAATTTTTTTCCGTATACAGAGTTTTTTCCCTCTCTCTCTCTCTCGTTTTTCCTTGTATTATATCATCCGTTCTGTCCGGTGGCACTAATAGTGGGGCCGATAAGCATAACAATCGTGCACTTCTTCATTGCAGCGTGAATACAACGAACCCGAGTGCGATCTGATGTGCCGATTAAGAACTCCGTGTGAGAATTCGGATGTTGCCAAATTTCTTCTTGGAAAATATTTATTTGTGAAGAAAGGTATGAATATTATTCCTTGAAATTTTCAGACTTTTTGCATCATATTACGAACAAAATCCTCTGAAAAATCAGAAGAGAAATATTCATAAATTTTTCTGAAAAATTCAAGATATGTCGATGGAAAATTGGTAACGCCCGATCGCTCTTTCGGCGTTCTTCCTTAGCACAACATCGTTGTTTTTTAATCGATCTCTTACGTTTTCTACCTATCTTGTCGCAAAAAATCAAGGAAGATTTTGCACGAAGTTTTTTTGAAAAATATTTTCGTTTAAAAATTACATTTGCTTGCGTACGGAGCTTAGGAAGAATATTCGATTTCATACAAAAAAACAAAAAAAAACCTGAATGATACCCCGGATCCAAAGTTACCTAGCTTCTTTAATATGACAGTATGCACTGAGTTTACGGCACAAATTATTTTAATTTTTTACGGTATTCATTTTGCAGCGTGTGACCTGCTACGGGAATTCAGACCGTTATAATGAAAAAATATTAAACAATTATAACGCTCCTCATTTGTGAAAACAGGTACTCTAAGACCAATTTGATGAAATAACACCTAAAACTTCACATGACCTTATGGATGAGTCAGGGACAGTAGTTCCTCGTCGTAAATGTAGATTAATTTTTGAGCAGCTAATTTCTTTTTTTGAAATTTCATTCAAATTTAAGAGTGTGAAAAAAAATATACCTAAATCACGATGAAAAGTATAGTTGACCTATCGATGGAAAATTATGAGTTTTTCGTTTTTCCCGTAAAAAGCTGTAGGCGATGACTGCGATGAGTATACTGGCGAATGTGCGCGGAAAACTGGAGCGCCTTCAATATTTGCGCATGCAACACAGACATCCTTCGAACACGAATAGTTGCATCTAGGAGTCGACATGCATTTTGCCATAAGGAAGTCATGCGATAATGTTTCTGGCTCAGTTTAGAAACAACGTATGTGCTATTTGCTTGCATGGATGAACTAGAAATAGCAATTCCTCGACATAAATGCAGTTAAATTTTTGGCAGCTCCTCTTATTTCAGTAAACCGAGCCCTTTAGGCAGAATACATTGACCCTTCCCGGAAGTTACTCAGGTAATTCGCACAAGTTTTGTCAGTGTTCCTTCATTTCGAGCAGCTTTGCTCCAGCGTTTTATGAAAGCTCCAGCGATGTTATAGTTAGACATGCCAGGTACGTTCCGCGCACGGAGGACCTGTGGTACGTGATACTAGAGTGGCATGACACTCTGATTAATCAAAGGGCTTGGAGGACAAGGCGCATAATTGCAGTTTATGAAAAAATTGAGATGTTAATGATTTCAATTAAAACTAGTCTTAATGCGTATTCTGTGAAAAATTCGTTCCGAAATCCCAAAAACTAAGCATCAAAAAGTAAGTTTGAATTTACTCGCTGCCTTTAAGGATCCATGTAATTTCGAAACATCATGCACGTATTTCTCGAATTAGCATAAACTGCACTCATGCACCTTGTCCTCCAAGCTCATCAATTTTAGATAGAAACGTGTCGGTGTCCGATGCGAAAGGCCCTATCCCCAATGGTCGCTTCGCAGCAGGGACGGATTTAGGCCCTAATTAAAAAATTTGAAGGCAGCGGATATGCGGAGGGTACACTGATAAGATTATTGTTATTCTTGTGTTAATTACTTTTGGGTAACATAAGAAGTGACACCCAAACCAACCCACCCTGGTAAAAATTGGCGATAGGACCTGCGTTTCAAAATACCATAGGAGTTCTTATAGCCGACTGAAGAAGGAGATAGAAAATCATATAGCTGGCTCTAAAAAGTGGAAAAAATCACACGGCCGGGGTATACGAAGCGATAAAAAAATTATACAGCCGGGCTATAGTTCCTATCGCCGGGCTTTACACTTTATCGCCTGGCTGTTGCTTTTTCGCCATCGGCTATAAAGGGCTATACGAAATTGTGTAGAAATTCGTGTGCTTTGTAAATCCTTAAGTTTGTACGGAATCACCTTAATATTTAAAAAACGCACATCATATTTTCCCTTACTACATATTTTTTTTCATCAATTAAAATGAGAATAATCCATACAGGATGTGCAAACATTTCAAAGTCATGAGTTGAAAAACGCTGACTCTACGAGATTAAATATTAGAGCCTAACACAAAGCGGAGCGGCGGCGCACTGGCGCCTACAAACCTAACAGGGATACTTCACGCATTGCGCAATGCGTGAAGTATCCCTTTTAGGTTTGTAGGCGCCAATGCGCTTTTCGCGCTGGCTGCCCGCCCGGTGCGCCGCGCCGCAGCGTACCACGGCGCTTGAAGCAACTATTTCACACCAGAGGTATTGCACAGTATCATACGAAATTGAAGGCGCTCCAACATATTAGAAATGACAGGCATCCTTCAAAAGTACGGAGCTTTCCTCGCAAAATAAATCAAGATACTACGGCCCAGAAAGATAGCGGTAGTCCAAAAACTCGCCAAGTCCTAGCATCCGTAATTAGTAACGTTTAGCATACACTTTATCGCCAGGCTGTTGCTTAGTCGCCATCGGCCATAAAAGGCTATAAGAAATTGTTTAGCCGGCTATAGGAGCTATTGGAAATCCGGCTATATCAGCAAAATAATATCAGCTAATAATATATATATAGCCGGCTCTATTGCTAATGATTAATATATATATCATTCTACCTCTCCTTCTCTATTGCTAATGATTAATATATATATTATTCTACCTCTCCTTCTCTATTGCTAATGATTAATATCTTTTTTAATTATAGATTTAGTATATTTAAGTGCTGTTTTATGTCCGGCTTATTATCCGGCTGTAGGTCTATGGTATTTTGGAACACAGATTATACTGCCAATTTTTACCAGGGCAAATTTTGTGTTGATTTTGGTACAGTTTGCGGCAACTTTAACGCAGAAAAAAATGCAATGAAGAGACAGAAAACCTCAGAGTCAGCTTAAAGCTCGGGTTATTTTTTGTTTCACTTCCCGTACTGACCAAATTTTTGTGTTGAGCTTTTTCTGTGTGTATAATCTCACGACGCGACGCGATGGTCGAAATATAAGACTAAGCTAGATCTCTAAAATGAAAAAAAAAACCCAGAAAAGAAGTAGAAATATGAGGTGTCAAAACAATTGCTAAGTCTTAACGGCATCAAAACCGATAGAAGAAACATTTGAAAGATGATTTGCCCCATAGATAAATATTCAAAATTCCGTGCATTTCGTATTTTAAGCGAGTTTGCGACTCTACGATTTCCAGCGGCGATGTTCGCGTCAGGAGTGAAAAAAGTCATCGAGATTCATAAATTCAAAAATGTAGGTCACTCACACTACATACATCGAAGAAAATTTCGTATCGTCTTTTTGAATTATTGATAGAAAATTCTCGAGTCCGCAAATGAAAGTTACCGTGTGTTGTACTGAATTATTGTTATTATTGGCACGGATTGTTTACTTTAA